TCACGTGTCCACGCGTTTGTCGGCGTGTCTTCCGATTTGTTGTTGTCACTCTGGCGAATAACTCCGGATTTGTTGATCTATTGTTAATGCTGAAGCACTCCAAAATTGCTGAGGTGTGTGGATGTTGGTGAAAAGATGGGGCGTGGCCCCTGATTAGGTTTTAGCCAAGGGAAATCCGTGGGAAGAATAGAAGGAAATTATGAAGAAAAGATTGATTGATACATTTTCAAAGCTTGAAATATATATTAACATTAAAGTTGAGTTTAAGTTTGCTATAATTATAATAAGACCAGAGCAAGCCTCTCCAATATTACTTCTTATTTGCAAGCTTCTTAACCCATTGGATTTTCCAACCTTACTTCCAATTAGCTGCCCCATCAGAGCCTCTCATCATCAGAACCATCGATTGTTTTCCCACTCCCCTGGACCCTCAACCCAAAGAGGGATTTCTCCTGCTTTTGATGGGAGCTTACAACAATGTAGACCCTACGCCTAAGTGACGCCATTATGGAACGCACGTACATACACTGAAAGAAAACCAAAAACTAATTTATAAAAATTACATTTAAATATATAATTTAATAAAAAATGAAAGAAGTTGATGGTTTTCTTAAGGGGGGATATACATGTAAGCGGTCAAAATTTGGCCATTTTTCGTGAATTTTTTTTTATAAGAAATAGTCAAGCAATCGTCGTGAAACTTTGGATATAGTTAAAAGTAAAATCAGAGATGATAAAAAAAATTAGTTATAAACAATATTTTACAAAATGGCGGATTTATGGAACATATGCCGTAGCGCCTCGAGCTTTGAGTTGCCGTGCTATGGACACGATAGAGCTCGTAATTCCTGTCCAAAATCCGTAAACTAAATTTTTTTGTATTCATTACACCTGTATATTCAATTTGAACCTAAAGAACCAAAAAGAAATCAAGACAAAAAAATTAAATTTTGATTTGAAGGAAAAAATGCCATTTTCAGGTGATCAGTTTTCACTTCCCACGCTCTTAAAAAATAGTAATACCCAGTTTTATAACAACCATTTAGGTTCAAATAGAAGATAATTTCATGCTGATCATAATAAAATTTTAATCACTCCGATATGTTACGAAGTTTTTTGTGAATCGTGTCCATAGCATAGGTAGAAATGCAAGAATTTAAAGCTGAGAAAAAGACGTTTAAAGTTTTTGATGCGCCCACGTTTACACTTGTATACCTTGCGTTCATACTTGATTTGAGGCACTTAAAGTTGGAATTCGATGATGAAACTTACACAGTATATTCTTTAAGTAATAAACTATTTTTTAAACAAAAAAAAAATTTTTCCCAACAAAAATTTTGGTTTACATGTATATCCCCCCTTAAGAGAAACTAAACTTTATCAATAAAGATGAAAATATAAATAATAATTGATTGATTGCAATACAAAATCTTTGCAAATATCTAAGAAAAGTTTAAATAAAAGCTAGTAAAAATTAATATTTTTTAAAATACATTCCATCCTCGATTTCTCTCTGTACACCCGTACTCGTTTGTGCGGTGCACTGCGCGTGATAATGTTAAATCAACATTATTTAGGCACCCATGCATGCGTAATGCGTCTCGAAATTGCAACCAAGTCGATGGCCACTGGATGGTGTGAGGCCCAATTTCATGGGTTTGGGCTCCTGGTCCTTGCAAAGACAATTTTGCAGTCACCGCTCCCAGGAAAGTTTGCATTTAAATTAAACGGCACAGGGACACCGGGGAGGGAGGGGCGTGCCATGAAATTTTAGCACCTAGGACAACGGCTGAAAGGCTCAAGCAAACATTGTCTCTGCTTTTATGCATTTTCCATAACGACATTCTCTGGCCGAACAATGGCCGAGAACACAACAACACAACACTTGACTTGGGCTGTCATTCGGAGTGACAGGACCTCCTCCTCTTCTGGGCCACAACAACAAAATGTGCAACTCGAGTCTATTTTCCACAATTTCCATGTTTATTTAGCCACGCACGAAAGCCGTTCCAGCGAGTCCTGAATGTGTATCTCATAGTTTGCTTAGGCATCAAGTGCAAGGTAAATACGAGATATATTTTACGTAAATTCATCAACTGTTTGTCCAGGGAGGAAGAGCGGAGAGGCTTGAGCAAATGACATTTATTTTGATTTGCATTTTAACGCTTAGCTGAGTTTTTTGACCAATTGCATTCCCAAATTGATCATTGCTCTTGGCAAATTTACAAAATTATATAAAATTATATATTAAGCTGAGGTATTTTAAGAGATTTTTAAAATACCCTCTATAGATTAAATAGAAATTCATTTCCCTTAAATATTAAATATATTTTAAAGAGTTTACCCTGGAAACAGGGTCCCAAACTCCTGTTAATTAAATCCATTGACTGGCTACGCAGCCTTTGTCTCAATTTGTACGCAAATTAACCAAAGTATTTTTTTAAAAACACAGGAAAAAAAAACAAGAAGAGCAAATTAATATATCAATATACAAAGTGTATTGAGTGCAATTTCAATCAAATTGAAAAGAGATTCCCGCTGCGAGGGCTGCCAGACGCAAACCGACACGACTGCCACCCAAATTGACATGTTCCGGGGCGAGTATATATTGTATTTCATATGGAATTTACCTTCCCCTTGCTTTTATTTTACTCGCCACCAAAAAAAGAGAATTGTAAAAGAAAAATCCTCAAACGAAATCAATGGAAAAGCAGGGAAATCAGCTCTTGGAGTTGAATGTATATATGTTTTTTGTGCTACCTCCTGCTGATGTGATGTTGCCGCTTGTCGCATGCAACAAATTGTTTCAATTAACTAAATTAAATTTACACTCCTGCAGCAGCAGCAGCAGCAGCTTCCATGTCGACGCCACAACAATGGGCATCGGATGCATTTTCCTCGAACGTGACATGACACTGACAGATGCAAAACGAGCAGAAGGAACTCCGGTTCTGCAGCCCCCCCAAAATGAAGGCCTGAGATATCAGATACAGGATATATGTACATATCCGTGAGTTTGTCGAGGAGGTAAATGAAAATGGCAAACATGTTGCATGCCACGTAGAACACAAGGGGTCCGACATGGTAATTTTTATAAAATTAACTGAAACAAGTAGGCGCAGGCAGAGTCGTAACAAAGTAATCTGCACTGGGGGAAAATAATTTAAGGAAGGTAAAAATATTATAAGGGAAAATATTTGCAAAATTTTAATACGGTTTCTTAATGTCTTGTTGATTTATTGGTAATTATTGTTACATTTAAAGTTGTATTGTTTATATTTCTTTTTAAAGTTAAAGTTGACAAATGTACAGGCCTAAATCTAATCTAAAATAGTTATTGTTTAAAACATCCCTAATTCATTTTAATTACAACCAATTCCAATATCAAACGAATCACTAAAACCCACCCCAAACACAATCAAAATACATTTTCTGGCAGTGTTTAACTTTCCAATACCCTCCCCCCACTCCCTGGCCTTCCTGCCACATTGTTGTAGTGGCAACATTGTTCGTCAATATCAATTATGCGTCCAAATGAATATTGAAGTGTAGCCGCATGCCAGGGCCACTCCTCCCAACCTCCCTCCATCCCTCCCACTCACAACAACACCGCAAAAGCCACCACTTCACTCCCACACACACAGAGGGGTCGGCTCATCAGGCATTGCCTGCGAAAAATTGGCAATTGTACAAAAGTGTTAACATGGTGCCGCATCCTGAACAGACTGACCACAGGACACGGTACGCAGGCCGAGCTCTTGGACACATCCATCAATGCCAGCAGATTTAATCGCCATTTAAATTGTACAAAGGCGAAGCCACTGAGAAATTTAAGTAGTAAATGCTTTTAAATACTTTTAAAAGTGTTAGAAATATATTATATACATTTTTTAGAAATATATTAACTTTGCTGAGGATTTTGTGTTTAATTTAAAATTTATTTTAAATGTTAAATTTGAATTTGCCTTTGATTATAAAAAGGAAAATAAATGATAAGGATAATAATTACCCTAAGTTACTTTTAAAAATCAGTTTCAAATCTTTTATGAAAGAAAAATCAATTAATTACAACCTTTATAATAATTTCCCTTATTTATAATTAAAATTTAGGCATTTTTCCAAGTGCAAACATCACGAGAAATTCAAATGGAAAGCGAACTGCCAGGAACAGCATTTACTTAAGCGTGTTATCGGCGTAAAATAAATCTCCGTGGAATGGTCAAGGAGCAAATCGGGCCCTCGGCAACCGCTCTTGGTATCTGTTTTAGTGTTTTCCAATCAGGGATACCCGAAAGGACATTGGTCACGTGTCAGCCGCTGGTCAGTTGTATTTGTGGCCTGGTCAGTTGAGTGTGACGTACGCCACATAATTGCAATAAATTAGAAATTGTCATTCGGTGGCAGTTGAAACAATGTGTGGGAGTACATGTGTGTTGGTTGTCACCCCCCTTCTGAGGAAAGGACCCTGGGACCCTTCCTCCCCCAATGGCATAGAGTTAAATCTTTGCAGTGGCCAAACAATTTGCGCTCTACAAATTTGCCTTAACGCACCGGCAACGCACGGCGTTTTGGTTGCATTTACCTCGGCAAACAAATTTGGCAGCACACGCAGCTGGCCAAAATATTTGCCCAGCCCCAATCCATGGACAAACTGGACACTAAAAATTAATGCAGCGAGGAGAACGAAGAAATTACGGCAACAGGAAGCGCGGAAAGTTAACGCACACTCTAAGAGACATCAAGAGAAAAATTAACATGAAATAGAGGCTCGATTGAGAAGTTTCCTATAAAAATTATGAGATAAAAATACTAATATAATAAAAGATGAAATAATAAAAATAATGTATTAATATATGTGATTATTAAGTATAATATATAAAATATAAAATATAAATTTAAAAAAAACCTCCTTTTGACCTTTATATATTTGTCATCATCTGAAAAAATTCTTTAAAAAATTAATTTATATGAAAGGAAATTAAGTATTTTGAACATTTTTCTTGTGGGTAAATTAAAGTTTAATTAATAGATAATTCAAACAGATTTCCATAACATAAATCAAACAATTTAAAGATAAACTTAAAGGTTAACAGGTATTGATAAAAAAATAAGGAAAGATGATTCCGTATGCACTCTCCGATTCCTTCTCTCAGATTTTCCTTTAACCTTAAAAGAAGAATTAGAAAATAAATTATAGAATAAATATGACTATATATATTATATTTAATATATTTTTAAATACTTACAATTTTAATTGCGTAAAAAAAGATGATATAAAAAGAAATATAAAGATTCTTTAAGGTGTCTCCGATACAATGTCTTCAAGTCTCCCTAAAGCCTAAAAATAAATACGAATATAAATTATAAAATTGTTAAAATATATCCAAAACCCACAACATTGTAACATTAAAACTTATATACCCAAATTATTCCCCTAATACAATCTATGCAAAAAAATCAAAATACAAAAGCCGAATGAATCCCCAGGAAGTTGTACAAATAAAATTTTATGATTTTCCTGAAAATCCACGTCGCCTCTAAAAGGAAATTAATTCCAGAAAGACAATGAATGTGGAAAACTCCACAATGATCGGCCTAACATATTTCACATTGTGAAGGAGAGTGGGCCACGCCCATAACTTCTGGCCAGAACGGAAGTGCTGTCCAGGCAGGCAAATGGGGCGCGCCAATAACAGTAAAAACCAATTGGCAATCGTTAGTTTTTATAAGACATTTTCCTTCCTCAGTCGGCCTCGTATTTTTCTTTTTTTTGTTTTGCGTCGTTGGGGAAAGTTTGATGAAATCGTCAAAGGAAAATTCATTTTCACTTGTCCAAGGACTTGTCTGGTCCTCCTCCTTGGAAAATCAAAGTCAATCACCGGCAACAGATTTGGTCAAAGCGGAAATGTGTCGCAATGGACTTTTGGTCAAATTAGACGGCGAAAAGTTGTTTGTTGTCCTAGGGGATTGACTGGGGACTTTCAGGGGGGAAATTTTGTATGTGGTGCGTCATTTGATACTTTAATGGGAAACTCTAAGAATATTTATAAATTCTGGATAATCTTGTACTTACTCTTTCATTAAGAGATTTCATTATAAGGTTCCCAAATGCTTCCAATATTATCTTCAATCTGAACTGTGCACAGTTCGAAATTGGGTAAATTATGTAAATTATCAATCTGTAAGTTGAAAAATTGAAGTTAAATATATACTTATTTAAAAAAAAGTTTAAGTTATACCTGTTGCGTGCTCAAATTAATAGAATTACATTTGAATTTGAAAGGATTATCCGGAGTGACACCGTTTTCCTTTAAAATGTTAAACAGAGACCTGAGAAAGTTCTCAGTAAATGCCGGGGAAGTACGAGCAATTCTAAAAGATCGAATGTTCCTGCAGTCCGAGAGAAGTTTAAGAAGGCGATTCCGATCCAGGTTTCCATAAATATTCAAAACCACCAAGGTCTCCGAGTGCTTTGAAATCCAGTTAAAGAAACTATCTGGTGATAGTTCGTAAGAAGAGTTCAAGCGGAATGCCCGTAGCTTGGGAAAGAATGGCAAATCTGAGCTGTTTTTACCAAAAAACAAGCCTGGCAGTTCCACACTCTCTAGAGTACTCGAGTGCTTTGTTATCCAATCCATACACTCCTTGGGAAACTCATCAACTTGTGCCAAGTTCAAGGAGGTTAGCATTGGACAATATGGCAGAGGAAATGTTACTGTCTCAAAGTCCTCGTATAACATTAGATTCTTCAAATTGGGTAAAACCCAGCCAGAAGGTAGACTTGAAAATATTTCTGACAGAACATCCTGCCCCAAGATAGAATTATTGGAACCCACGCTTTCCAGGGTTTTTATTTTCACAGAAAGCCATTCGCAGAAATCACTATTGAATCTAGCAAATCGAGTGTGCAGAATTCGTAGCTTTTGGCAATCTGGAAAACTGGTTTCAATACGAATATGGAAGAGTTCAAGCTTTTCCAATGCTGGCAGTTCATATGCGATTTCTTGGCCATTGGAAATTATTTTGCCACCAGAAATAAGCAAACTGCGTAGAATTTTTAGGTCCGATGAAATATCATTAATTTTTAAGACAACCATTGTGCCTTTTATTGTCAATGTTTCCAAGTAAACACATTCTTTTAAGTGAGCTAAAAAAATTTATATTAAAAACTAATTAAGTTCGTTTATTAAAAAACTCACCTAGATCCACAGGCAGCTCCGTACAGTCTTCTATATTAAGCCCCAGAGTTTTAAGATTTTGAAGTTCTTTCAAAACTTTTAAGATCGCAGAGGCGTCATTGTGTTTAATGTCAATTTGCACTTCTTTTAGGTTTTTTAATGCCACAATCATGGTCTTGAACGGCGTCAAATTTTCCGTTATCAGATCTGCGTCACTTATAGTTATGGATTGTAGGTTACTGCAATGCTGGCCAACAAGACGAAAACCAAGCGCAAACATAGGAGTCATAACAATTTCCTCCACAAATTCCCCATTTTGGCGAAAAAAATCAGGCAAATATTGTGGGAGTTCAGAGGAGAAGTCAATTTTTTTAAATTTATTCGGCTCCATTTTAGATTTGTTTTTTGTAGTCACTGGAAATCACTTGAGTCGAAGCAAATAGCGTTGTTGATTATTTAAAGGAACCACATAAACTACTCACAAGCTACTGAATGAGTATAAATTATGACGGAATTACACTGCCGGCAGCGCAATAAAGAAAATGCTGATCTCGTGAAATGCACATTCATCAGACGATCTCTGGCCAATGGAGTTAGGGTGCAGCCCACTACAGTGACATTTGCTGGATCAGCAGCGTCTTGACGCTGGGCACTAGGGCGACTCAAGAGTTATGAGGGTTACTTGTAGTCCTAAATGATTAATATTTTAAATGAATTAAAATTGTAAAAGTAAGTAAAACTAATACAAGAAAGATTCTTAATTGAAATGTATGATTTTGAAAGTTAGTCTTGGTTTTTAAACAATTTTTAAAAATGTATTTTATAAAGCAAAATATAAAAAAAATTTAAAAAAAAATGTATATAAAGGTCGGTTTAAAGAAATGCGAATATTTTACGTTTTTTAGAGCACAAAAGATATTAAGAAAGTCAGAGATTGCCAATAGTCTATATATTCCGATTTGACATTAAAGTTAAGTACGTTTTTTTTATTGTTCTCTTTTTGATTTAAACCGTTTCTAATCTTCTAATATTAAAATTTCCATATATTCCAGTAAGAATAAGTCATAGCGAATTAATAAACGGAACAAATGGCAATTTCAGAAATAGAGGTGGTGGCTAATAGTTTATAATTTGAATTATTTTTTAAGCTATATTTTTTTTTAAATATTATAAATACTATTACTAGTTTTATTGATGCTAATGTTTTATAAAACATTTAATATTTATGTCCTCCTTGGCTTACTTCTGGTAAAATCACTCACCAGTGAAAAGAAATCAATAAACAATTATCCGTTTATTATTATAAAATTACCATCCACAGACAAAAAACCACAAACAACGAGACCAGCCAAACATAATGGAGAGCAAATTGAAAAGCAAGCATGAAAAATGAAAAACAAAAAGGTCTAAATAGAATCCCAACTGGAACCGAAACGAAATCGGAGACAGCACGGAGATTACGCTTCATTAACATAAAACCACAAGAGCGAATTGATCACGAGATCAATTAAAGGCCTCACAGCTTGCCGCGTTATCGCTAACTAATGGATCACAGTGTGGCCCGACAGTTATCAAAATGTTAATGATTCCCAAAAACCGAATCACAGCCAAAACGATCCAACCCGAATTGTTATTTTTCGTCATGCCAGGGGCAAACTCTTTGACAGGGGTCCCTGCGTCTGTGTCTCGGTTCAGTTCTGGTCTCGCTCGGTGTCACATGTCAATTTGAGGAAAACCCCTCCTGAGGACACTGAGGAAAATTGGCGAAGAGGGAAACTGTAGAACAGAAAAATCTAGTAAAGAAAGAGAGAGGTTCTTAATTTCTTGTATTTAGTCATATTTATTTGTATCCCATTCTTTACCCTGAAATATTTAATTATTATATTTATTTGCCATATTTTCCCCCAGTGTCTCAAGTAGACCGAAAAGACAGCTTTCGTGACAAACTGACAGCCAGGCAATAGATCCCAGAGAACGCTACGCCCAATGTGTTAAGACCAACCATTAATATTAATAGTCTTGTGCGTGCTGTACGTGACTTTTCCACCGAACCCTTTCCCGGGTGGCGAATCTTTGGCGAAACTGGCGTTCTTATCGTTTGATTTGTAGACATTTTATTGCTTTATTGATGCGTTCTTATCAAAAGCGCAGCGTTTTTGTTTGATGGATTGTTCCCGACTTGCCCACCTTGAGACAAGACCTCTCTCTCTTCCCAGTCCCCCGGGCATAAGTCGTCAGCATTTTTATGCTGGTAGCCTTACCTCCATCACCACGCACGCAATTCGCCTTGGGAAACTTTTTCCCTTTGTCAAAATTCCAAATATTTTTCGATTTGATTGGCACTTACCCACCCAGCGAAAGGGTGAACTCAACACAAAACGATTCGTTTTGTTGTGGGAAAAATCGAAGGGGGGAGTTTTGGGAAGAGTTTTGTTTTGGGAATTCAAAGAAACCGAAAGTAAAATTATAACCTAATAGGGTTCAATCGAGGAGAATATGGTAGAAGAAGGTTAAGTGGGGCTTAAATATATTATAGTATTTTTAAAAATATTTTAAATATGACAAACTTAAATATTAAGGTTGATATTCTTGAATTTAAAATTACTTTTTCATAAAACTCAGCTAACAAAAATCCAGTTAAGCTCCAGCAACATGTTTTGAAATAAATACAAACCCAAACTTTCCCAACAACTGTAGTAAAATTTTATGTATCCTTTACAAGAATTTATCCTTACCAATTATGCAGGCACCTAAGCCACGCCATAAATTACTAAACAGAAAAAAGAACCACTGAAACTTTCGCTGAAAATATTAAATTTTACGAGCTTAATTTGTGTACGTGCCTGGCTTACTGGGAAGACATGGCGAGATCCTCTCGATTGTCAATTATAGCGATTGAAAAGTGGCCAGCAGCCACTTGAATAAACCAATTTTATTGATGACAGTGCGGGGGAAATGGGCCTGGAACTAATCTCCTTAACAAGGCCAGCATTAGAGGGCTAAAGAGCGGGCTCCTGGGGTCTATTCATATTTCAAAAGAGCCAACCAACTTGGAAAACCTTGCTGGCTCGAAGAACGGCGCCATTAAACTTTACGATGCTTGGGGGCCGTAAAGTATGCAAAGCTATGCCCAGCTATTTTGTAATAAAGGGTATTCCGCAGACACACTTTGCCTTGGCCCCAAAATGCCCGCCACTTGTGTTTCGGGTCCATTGTTTTGGCTGCGGCAAAATGCAGCAGCTTGGAGTGGTCTTGATACACTGAAAAGACTGGCTAAGGACTTCTTTGATTATTTTGAGACTCTTAAAGTTAATAAAAAATTATTTAAAATTAATATAAAAGTGCTAACCTAAGACCTTTTCATGTTCTTATTGTTTTAAGACACATTTTCTTGATATAAAAATTATCTACATTTTCCCAGTGCACATGCAAAGATCCATCCCAGTCGTCTTCGTGTGAGTTGACTCTGCAAAATGTGTTGGCATAAAATCAACAAAAGTCATCAAAAGATATCCGCGCCTCCATGCCGCGCCTCCAGTTGCAGTTTCGGTGTTGTGGCTGGCAAAACTTTGCATATTAAATGTCATTCGGTAAAGTGGAATTAAGGAAGCGCAGGCAGCTCCAGGAAATGCTGAAGCCTGTCACAGCAAATTATGCTGAAGTGCGTCTGTCAGCCAGGATGCGGATCCTGTGGCCACACATCCTCTAGTGAAGATTTTTGGCTCCTGCCATTGAGCCATAAATGAAAACTAAACAAGATTTCGAGCGACTGAGAGCACGAGTTGCTGCAAATTTTATGAGCTAATTTTAATGAAGTTGTTCAAAGGCAGGATGAGTTGATGAATGTCGACACGAAGCAGACAAGTTTATAAATTATGCTGGAGTTGAGATAGCACTGAGAATGTCATTAAATAATTCAATGTGTTTTTTGGGGGGATAATCAGATCTTGTTTCCTGTTGGTTAAAGAAAATATTTGAAAAATATATAGAAACCTGCTTGAAGCTCCTGAAGAGGTACAGAACGATCTATGAACCCTCTAATGACCTTTGTCACGGCTATTAGCCAGCCATTTGACCACACACTGGGAGATGTATCAAAGGATGCCTTGCTCATGCTTCCATTAGGATGCTCCGTCATTAGCGGCCACTTTGCAACGCTGTGAAATCGTATCAAGTATTCTTTTGGTTTAAAGAAATGCCGATTTTCATGCTCCATTAAATTATCATACGATTCCCATTTCAAAAGCCTAGAAGAAATCTAATTAAATTAAAATCAAATTGTTGTATTCGGAATCCGATCTCTGCCCAAGAAGCAACTCCTGCCCTTTGACCCCTCACTTTTTCTCTCTCCAAACCGTGACGATTTCGATTCGAGTGTCAAATCCACATCATTATTCATTATCAAATATATTTCGTTTTCTCTCCTCTTTTTTTTTTGGTTTTGCGGTTAACGCAAACCGATGCCGAAATCACAGCTGGATTTATATTTTCTGAAGGGGTGAAGGGGGCTATATTTAATTGAACTTTCCCCGCGAGTGGAGGAAGTTTCCTTCGATATGTCGGAGGGAGTTAATACGTTCTAACAAAGCAATCAATACGAAGGGCATAATTAAATAAAACTAATGATGCCAATGACAGACAGTGCTGCCAAGGGGACTAATGATGGAAAATAGAAAATAAATGAGAGCGTTGGGTATTTATAGAGGGTTTAGTTATCCAGCGATAAGTGGAAACTATTTAGAAACCCAAATATAAAAGGGGTTTCTGCGTTAAAATATAATTCCATTCAAGTTGAAATCGAATAGCAAGAACTAGATTACAACTCCAACTTCTTGTAACCCCCAGAAACTTGGATCTGCTGCCAGACAGATTTTTATGTAGCGTAACTAAACGTTAATTTATGAGTGACTAGGGGGGGTAACTTTCACTGGAGTGCAGGAGGAATTAAAAAGAAATTAACACGCTCCCAGAAATTTCTGAGTGGGAGTGTGCTGCGTGTGTGAAGCCAAGTGAATTTTACAGACGCCTCTTTTTTTTTGGGCCCTTTGTCTAATTGAGTTGGTGTTCCTGTCTCTGGTTCTTTGCCTGGTTGGTTGGTGGCCCGTTGTCTTAATTTTAATGCCCTCGTAAAAGCAGCGCAAAAATTGAGAGCCATAAAATGTCCGACGAAACATTGAAAATTAAAATAAACACATAAAGTGCGGCGCCGTGTCCTCTGATGGGATGCGATCTGATACGCCCGATAACAAGTGTAATACACATATGCAGTCCTGATCCCAGTCTCCGATCCGGCTTCCATTCAGAAAGTTAACCCTGCGCCTATAAATCAAACGAAGCGTGAAGCGCGCTTTATCCTGTGGAAGGAATGAAACGGTGTCTGCCGTAATTTACATGCCAGCAAAAGTTGTTAAAAATGATTTTAATGGCCCTGCGCGTCACATTTTGTATGCTTGTAAAAGTTTTACGAGTTATTATGCCTGCATTTCTATAAATTATTTATAATTTTGAATATGTCTTGAATTTATTATCATTTGTTAAAAATTTATGCAAACCTTTGGTTTACATTGGTCTGGTTTTGGTAGTAAATTGGTTACGGTATCTTATCTTTAGGTTTAATTTTACACGTTTTATAATTTATTTATTATAATAAAATATAAAGAAAATATTTGAGATGGTTTATAAAACGTTTTTAAACTAATCTTTATTTGAATAACAATTTTATAAACTTCAAGTAAGCTGAATAACTTACTGAGAAGTCAAAGTTTAAAAACAAATAAATCAGCAAAAACGTTCGCATTATTGGGAAGAAGTTTAGAACTCAATTTTAAAATATATTAAAAATAAAGTGAAGTAAATGTGTTACAAATTAAATTAGAAATGGATTATTGAAAGTTTTAGGTGTGAAAAAATTAGTT